AGAAGACCACACTTTTCTCGGGCCATTATCTCCGTAACCGTTCAACTTTGGACATAGGTGTTTTGGGTTATATCGGCATACTTTAACATAAGGAACACCCTCCCGAAGTTTGGCACATTCCTCCTGGGACACCCTGTATATATATATACATGAAGGTATTTGCGAATTAAATGCTAAGGGGGATATTTGGGTTTGGGAGAGAGAAAGTAATGGGGCAAAAAAAGGTAAACCTGTCTCTGTTCTTGCTTAATTAAGCACCATACCATGAAGACATATCTGGGAGTGGAGGTATAGCTCCACTGTTCTTGATCTTGGCTCTTGATGAAGGTGAGTGGTCAGTTTCGTGTCCCCGCTGCTTTACCCCGTAGGAAAGTATCCATGGTACCTACTGTACAGAAGGCTGGGTGTGCCCCAGAGCCAATCTGGATGCAGTGAATTAGAGAAAAATCTCTTGCCCCCACTGGAGATCGAACCCCAGCTGTCCAGCCTGTTACTATACTGACTGAGATATCCTGACTCCAAAAGTAGTAGAAGAATGAGAAAATTATATAATGAGGAGTTTCACAGTTTGTACAGTTCATTGACATTATAAGTGTGATCAAATCAAGGAGGATGAGAAGTGTGGGAATACTTTTAATCAGAAAACCTGAAAGTAAGATACTATTTGGCAGACCTAGGCTTCAGTGTCAGGATAATATTAAAATTTACCTTAAATAGAGTGTGAAGGGTGCATTGTGTTTCCAGGATTTCAACAATACACATGTATTTCTGCTTTCATTCCATCTCATTGAAAACACTATTTCAACAAAAATTTTGGATCGTGTAATGCTAAGAATTATGATATTATTTTGAACATATTTGGGATTTCCTTCAGTGGATAAAATTTCCTATAAACATACAACAACATCTGCCCTACACCACACAGAATATTTCCATTACTGATTTCTACAAAGATATTTTTGCACACACACAATTCATCATGTTATTAAAATTGAGGACAATTACAGCCTGCTCAAATTTTTCCATCTTAAATATGGTAAATTTCTTATAATACAGGAAGCATGGCAAGCATAGATGTGGATTGGATTCAAGTGGCCCTATTTCTGTTATTACATGTAAGGAGGGAATGCATCCTACTCAGTTGGTCCTGTAGAAAGTTGGCTCCTTCTGATTTGCCCAGCTGAGTAGGAACATTTCATCCGCTGACACCTGATGTAGGAACAGAGCCATTTCCCAAAACCTACATGTCAACTATACCCCAGACAATGGAGAATGTCCAATAAACCTTTGGACAGTCATGATCCTGAGGTTTTCCTAGATGGATGGAAGAAAACCATAAAAGACCTGAGGACAGGCAGTGAACTGGCTAAGATTTGAACTAGGTACATCCTGAAAACAAGTCAGTCATGTGACAGGTGTATCAACCTTCTCTACTTAAAATTTGTGAGTCAACAATAAATCATATGAGCATTGCACAACATGAAGTCATCATACTGTGATGCAATAAGTGAGCCAGATTAGCATCCACATGCATCTGGATGATGCAGTTTTTATCATTCCCTCCAGTAAAATGCTGGGATACTTTTTCAATTTAGGCCCAAACTACTTCCTTTCACATCTTTTACAATTTGTTTTTCCTTGAATGATCCCTTCATTCAACACTACATAGTCTGAGATACTGAATGTGTAACTGAATAAACCATGAATAAATATACAGCCTGTCCATAAATGATAATTTAATGCTCCTAAAAGCTTTTGATTTCTCACTTTCATTATCAGTGTTGACTGTATTATGAATATAAACAAACTGATAATGGTCACATGTACACACAACTTCTCAGCAGTTTCAGTGCACTTACTATCATTCATAATTATGGAGTATGAAAAATATATACAGAGTGTCCCAGGAGGAATGTGCCAAACTTTGGGAGAGTGTTCCTTATGTTAAAGTATGCCGATATAACCCAAAACACCTATGTCCAAAGTTGAACGGTTACAAAGATAATGGCCTGAGAAGTGTGGTCTTCTGGCAGGTCCACGCACTATACCTGTCAGCTGAGACGTCTTATCTATGTTTGTCCTTGAGTGTGGTGATTCACACTAGTTGTAAGCTCATGTGCTACGTACAGAGTACGTTGCGGCTGCGTCG